TAGTACGAAGGCGAAAGAAAGGAAGTCAGAGGAATAAGAGACTGAGGTAAAAACATGTACATTTTTTGGTTGCATCTTTAGTCATGTATACCATGGACTCATTGAATGTAACTTACAATGATGGGGATTGTTTACTTCAGTTTCTTAAAATAGTAGCTAAACTATGTCTAATATTTTGAACATAATGATTGTTTTATAAAGTTGACACATATCATTAGGTCATACGTTGTTCCTGGTCTGTTCCCACATTATTAGTCATGTTGTGCACCAGCATAGTCAGAGCACATGTGAGTGTTTTTGTAGAAAAAAACTCTGTTTTTTATTTACAATCTCATTCTTACATACATACATACATACATACATACATACATACATACATACACACACACACACACACACACACACACACACATATATATTAACCTAATCTAATTAATTTGCTGAATACATAATAATGTATGCCTTCAAGGCATACCTTTATATTTCAGCGTGTTAATTAATTAATTTAGTACTAATTCAGATTAAAAGTAAACATGAGTCTTAAAAAAATGTTGATGTTAATGTCAGACAAACACACTTAATACTACCTGTGGCTGTGAGAGCATGTCCAGACTCCAAGAGCACATCTTTCCATCAGTGGAGATGCTAATCAGGTTGTGGGCGTTTTGTGTACCGACCACATTTACACAGTAAACTGGGTGCTGCAAGAGGTGGATGGACAGAGTTCAGTTTTCGTTCTGTAGTTAAATTCAGCACAATTCCACGTTGTCAGTCGTTCACTGTACCGTGTGTGCTGCTGCAGACAGAGGCGTCCTCTGCACAGGGGTCCTTTTATTGCTTCTGTTGTCCCAGAGCACAATCTGCCCAGAATATGTGCCACCCACCACTACGTTAGGATGGAACTTGGCAAATGCAGCCGACATAACAGCAGACTGCCAGGAAGAGGCCAAAGTTAGAAGAGGAAAGACAAAATTGAGTTATTCTGTGTTTGCTGCATTAAAGTCTGGTTTACTTTGATGAATTCATGTCACATCAAGTCACATTCAGTAATGCAATCATACCGACGTCTCTTCTTGTACATTTGTCCAGCAAAAAAAAAAACATGCAGAAGGTTTAAGTCACCATGCCATTCATTAATACTAACCCCCATCGCGTGTACCTTTCTACAGTTTTACCTGACATTATATAGATCTTTACCTCAGGTAAACTGGTATGTTGCTAAATTTGGCTCTAGGTGGATGAATGGGTCTGGAAAGTTGCTTATTCTAGCAACAATGTCATAAGGAAACTTGAAACAAAAGAGCTGCCCTGAGGATATATGTAAATAATGTAAATAAATGTATATTTCCCACTGAAGACAGCATGACAACAAACACGCATGGGCATGAATTCTAATCTGGTTGCATTTCCACACAAAGCAAAAAGCAGAAGGAGGAGAAATCATTTTCAAAGATTACTTGTTAAACTATGATAATGATTTGCAAACTTCTTACTGCATATTACACCAGCCTTTTCCCTTTTGCCCCCACAAGTTGTAATGCTGAGAAAAATCTGTTTTTTTCCCTGACTTGGAAACTGTGTTCATACTTGTGTTCGGTTTTATTCATCTGAGCAGTTTTCCTGCTTCTACATCCGCTCTGGATGCAACAAACATGTGGTTCTACTCAACTTGTCTTGGTGACGAAGCCTAAGGGCAGAAATTATAATAAGGCTGCAGAGGAGCACTGCTGCCACTGCGGCTGCTGCTCTGACTGTGAGTTGGCCTGAACACAGGGCCCTTGTTTAGATGCACATGATAAGCAGCCCTGCCCCACACACTTAATCCTGTTGCAGAAATTGGATTCTGTTCAGCTCCTGCACCACAGGTTCTTCTCCGGCGCCTCAGCAACATGTGTTTGCAGACAGATGTGGTGAAGGTGGATGCCAGCAAAGTGAACTCACAAAGAACAGATGAAGGCGGTGAGGGGTGAGGGGCTGCATAGGGAGTAGGGGTGTGGGGTACACAGGGACTGGGTTGGCAGCAGTCCATCCTTGTCATGTCAGAACAACCCTTAAGGACAAGGACTGGAGGCTTAGGGTGGGAGGAAAAATAAAAAATGTTGCTTCAGGTACCTGACAATGGAAGACATACTCTGGGGTAGCCTTCTTGTACTTCATGTTCCACACCAAAGCTACGCCATCTGGCTCATGAGGAGCATCTTCATTGTTGTTGTATGATGCAACCAGGAGTTCAGGATACTGGTGACAGAAAGAAAATCAGTCTAAATGAATGACAGAGGGAGGCAAAGGCAGACATAAGCCCCAGGCTTGGCTCTGGCCTGCACCGCTGCTAAATGCCTCTCAGAATGAGTAAGTCTTTCCTCAAGATTTATGGCTCATTTAAGCCGTCCACCTCCCTAAAAACATTGGCAAATTACTTTTTTTCCGCCATTTTCTTTGTGGAAGTGCTGAGATGGAGTTAACCAAACAGAGCAGCTCTGTGAGAAGTGAGGTGTTAGGAGAATTAATACAGAAACAGCATCCAGATGTAAATAAACCATTAACCTCGGCTAATTCGAACACTCCATCTGAGGTTTTTATAGTGTGTAAATACATCATTTTAAATCACACGCTTGTGGATGTAGCTCTGAACCAGTGGATACTGTGCAGTGAGTCCTAGGTGTTCAATCACTGTCAAAACGTGTTGCAGAGTCATGCATAAAATGACCTTGGACACTAGAGGAAACAAATCATTACTAACTCAGACTAAGTGACAATTTGTGCGGGGCACAACTTACTTTTCCTTAGGGATCTGTGGCTAAAAGTAAATGCTGTCAAACTTGAGCCATGTAATCATAAAGCATTATGGCTGCAACACAGCTAAATTGTTTGAACGGCCGCTTGGCATCACATGGACACACTATAGAAACAACAAATGACAAATGATTTGGACTAAAGAGTGTTTGTGTTTCAAGTTTACAAGAGTTAAAAAAATTAAAAAAAAAAACGCAAAAAGGTAATCACTTTTTTTAAAAAAACGCAAAAAGGTAATCACCTGTAGCGACCAGTCTAAACAAGTCACAACGCGGTGTTTGGACCAGCGCTCATCCATGAACTGCCTGTTGAGGGAGAGCTTTGCTCCAGCCTGGATTTCACTGTAAAAGAATGTAAAAAGAGGCATGGATGCCACTAAAGCTCCACAAAAACTTTAAGAACTGTTTTTAGTTTCTTCAACTTAACACATCTATTACCCTTCCTTTTCTTCCAGGTCACGGCCGCTGTAGTCAAAGAAGAGGTCTATATGTTCTGACAGAGCTCGCTCAATAATGCGTGTGCTATGGTCGAAGAAATTGGCAAACTCCTCTGAATGCAGGATCTGCAGTTTCTCCTCCTCTGTTAACTCGTGAACTAGAGCTGATAAAAAGAAAAGAATGTTATGGAATGTTTTTGGCTGCTGTACAAGAAGAGAAACCTCCTGGTAGAAAGTATACAGAAAAAAATGAATATCTAAAAGTTCAACTGCGGGCTCAAGCACCTTCCTCTTCTTCTTTCTGGTCCGGCTTCTCAATTGGAGCCTCCACCACTGGCTGAGGAGGAGCGATTTCTTCCTCCTCTTCTTCGTCTGCAAGGGAAAAGGTAAAGTGAGTTTTCATAAACTTTATTTCTGGATTCATTTTATTCTTAAAACTATGCATTATTTAGTTTTTGAAAACTCATGTTGGAAAATGATAAATGCAAACACTGAGACCAATATGACTTCTCTAACCAAACTATTTAAACACCTTCCACCTCTGTTACCATGTTCTTTCAATACAGGCTTCATCCATTGATTATCTGCAACAGGGCTACAGACTGATTTTGTGCCTTTGCCTTTGCATTTGTTTAGTTTTGTCACCACAAAGTTGCCTTTCAGAGAGAACCTGCTCCTCAAAGGCAGGGAAGTTGTCATTTGTGTAAGAAGGGACACAGCACAGCAGGTGTGTTGTTGTCACAGGGACCCCTGTCCTTCCAAACTGTTAATGAGACTGGTTCCATTCAAAGTAGAGTGAAGCTGTCAGTGTAGCTGCTCCCTCTGTGTCACAGTAGTTGGTTGCCCCCTTCTAGGCCACAGGGGCAGCAGGGCAGAGGGTGTGGAGCAGCTGCCAGGGTCTGTCACATTGGTGTGTAGAGATGAAGGTGCGCTTCCAAAAGCAGCTGGTGATGCTGGGATTGTCTCGTGCTCTTCAGAGGTGGCATTGGGATGGCACAGAGGTTTTCCGCCTGGCTGCCCCAACACAAGCTTTCTCCCTGAACGGCGAGCCTATGCAATTACCGTCCCAGCAGGAGGTCCTGCAACTGCTATTCAAGCTCAGAGAATGTACAAGAAAATACAGGCCCGAGCAGCTGGCAAACTGCACACTGATTCTTCCTTAAAGGAGATGATCTTTTCCTTAAAGACAGTATGTAGCTTATGTTTTTGTAATGAAAAAAATAGGACAGAAATAGGAAACATTTTCTTGAGAAAGGGGGGAAAAAAACATGGCTGCATTTATCTCTGTATGAAGCTTATAGCTAATTGAGGCCGACAGCAGCACACGCCACAATATCCTTCCCACTGAGATAATCTAAATGATAATGTCATCTGTCACTTTGTCCATAAACTGATTTATTCCCTTTCTCAGACGGAGGTTTGGTGGAGAAGGTTATTGGGTGCACTGATGAGTTTACAGAACTGGGTTGATGAAACAAGCCATTTCAGTGTGCCGTCGTACACTGCAACCAACAGGAGAAGGTTAAAATCTTTCCTTTCAAGGGCCTCAATCAGGCTTAAAGGAAAACAGTAATCACTGTCTTTCAGCTAGTTCCGGACGTGCTCGTCAGCCCTTTTTTCGTGGCGAGGCAGCCAGAGCAATCAACCTGCCAGGCATTAGGAGCGGATAGACAATCTGAAAATAAAGGGTATAATGCACCTGCCAGCCAAAATGGCCATTTGGAGAAAAGCTAGTGATCCTGGTGACCCCGCTAGGGATGTACAGACAAGCAGCAGCACCCGGAGAGGGCTGCTGGAGGATGAAAGAAGAGGAGGAGGTGGTGGAGGAGGAGGAGGGGACTGCATTTAACAGAATTCACCCGAATCACCGATGTCCCATACACTGACACCTCCTCTCAGAGCAACCCCAATTATGGCTTTTGTACCACTATAAGGAATAAAAGCTTTTCTGGGGGAAGTCGGACAGAACTGTGGGGGGAGAGGAGGGTAATCACAGCCTTAGTCAGTAGACAATATATTAATGCAAACACAGCATGTGTCCAGTGATGTCCAACTATTAAACTAAATGACCTTTGCTCGTGGGGCTGCAGGTGTCTTCCTCTTTCTATGTATCCTGCCAGAACAGAGTTGTGACTCTGGCACGTGTAATAATGAAACTAAACTAGAACTGTAACTGTATGAGAGGGGTGTCCACACTTTTTTGGATTACACATTTTACAAGTTAAAATAATATATGAAATAACGTTGTGTAAAAACTGGCAAATAAACTTTGTTTGCATGTTTTGTATGATGAACCTTATGGCATAACACAATTTAATACGTACTAGTTAGTTAGTTATTAGTTTACTTGCCTTCTATTTAAAAAAATAAATACTAGCAATCTACCTGCACTACCTTTGAGATTCACCAGTTTATTGAAATCTATTTTTGG